ATCAATGTCTGTCTGTCTGTCTCCTCCCCTCTCCCCAAATCAATACACATATCCTTGGGTGAGAATTAAAAAAAAAGAATGTATTTAAAAAAGTCTTCCCATTTGAGAGAGAAGTATTTAACTTGAAACCTGTACCGCATGATTCCTAAGAACTGTGCATTCTGTAAAGTGGGATGAATCCCGAAAATGGAAGGAAATTTCCCTCCATCTCTCCCCACTGCACACTCAGAATCGCCCAATTCCCAGTCTGCCTCGAGCTTCCTGAGCACCCCCTGCCCTTCCGTGGCTCAGCATCTTTCCCTGAAATGCCCCCTTCCCTCCTGTCCTCCTGTTCCGCTCTCACGTCCTCTGTGAAACCACCTGCATCTTCCTCAGGTGAGGCCCTGCTCTCCCGAGCTCCCACCACACTTAAAGGCACCTGGAGCACTGCCCTGCTGTTCTCTTTCATGTCTTAATTCCCTTCAGAGGCTGCACATTCCATGATGAGAGCCCCGTCTTAAGTATCTCAGCATCCCGGGGCCTGGTGGAGAGCCAGGAGCGTGCTCAGTGAATGTGCAACAAATGAATGACTGAAGGCTACATGGTCACTGTATGAAGCTGAGCCCCACTGCCTTGACTCCGCAGCAAGCATGCTACTATTGTAGGGTGGAAAAGTACAGAAGGGGTGTTATTATTTTAATCACAGCAACTCGGCGGTGAGTCTCGATGGCAGGGGCCCCAGACTGCACACAGTCCTGGGAGGTGGACAGAAGAGGGGGCCCTATGGTGCAAAAAAGCTCGGAGCCTGCAGGAAGTCCTCTCTCCCCACGGAACCTTTTAGAACTTCGATCTCTGTGCCAAATTAACAACCCAAAGTAGGAGAGAAAATTAGACTCTCCAACAATAATCTATCTGTGGGAGAGATGTGTTCCTAAAACAGTTGTAAAGCATATGATATTTTTTCCATTTACTTACAACATTAAATTGAAAATTGGTTCCCATAAGGGATTTTACCACTCCCCCAAATGAAATAAAAAAGCACACAAGAACACAGAAAACCTATTAAAATCGCCTATTAAAAAATGACACTGTTCAGATAACATCAGCACCACTGACCAAAGGCAAAAAATAAAAACACAGCAGGGAAGCAGGGGCCTTGCCTATAAATACCACACCAATCTAGACAGGAAACTCATCTCTGATCTCAAGAGGGCGATTTCCGGCCCAAAGCAGGAGTCCACTGGGAGTTTCTGTTTTACTTTGGAAATTATTTTTTATTTGAGTGATTCTGCGCAGGTAAAATGGAGAGGGAGCTGATCCACAATTAACACAGCTGCTCAGAGTTCAGGTGCATTTTCCAAGAAATCACTCACATTTGAACCATAAGCTCTCCTTACTGTGGTTTGTTGTTTACACCTGTGTTCTCATGGACGCCAGGCTAATCCCCTCGTCCCGAGAAGCCCTCTGTGGAGCTCCCTCCCTCCTGCCTGTCCGGTATCCACAGCTCTCTTCCGTCTCCTCTGTGGAGTCCTTCCTCCCCACTCACGGCCATGACTCCGAGCACCTCCCAGTGGTGCCCTGGTGAGCCCCCACGTAACTGAGCATTTAATTAAACTTGGACTTGGATTGTCCCTTCGTTCGTTCATGGGTTCCTCGTTCTCCCCTGGTTCTATGCCCCACACCTGGCCCCTCTATAACCTCAGGGAACATGTGGAATGCTGAGTAGGAGTTCAGCAAATATTCGTGGATTTGGTCTTTGGTAAAGGAGACTCTTTAACAAATAAGACGTAGGAGGTTCCCAGCCTATAGCTGTGGGAGTCAGGTCTGGGATCCAGTCCTCACCCCGTCAATTCCTACCTTGTAGTATGTAGCAATTCCTTTGCTCATTGGCTCATCTCAAAAAGGAAGATAGTAATAGTCCTTTGTTGTATTGTTTGAGGGGGTCGATGAAACAATAAATGTAAAGCGCTCCGCACCATAAAACGGTCCAGTTCTATGAACGGAGCGTGTACTGTAAGCACTCAGTAAGTGGCAGCTGCTGTTGTTCAGGCCATTTGTTGACACGGACGCGGGCCTGGGCCCAGGGTTGGGAGGAGGGGCAGCAGGTGCTGCTCGAAAGGACCTTTGCTTTGTGCTCCTCGCAGCCCTTCCACACTGGGATGGGTCTGGCGTCTTCTGCTCTTTAGCACAATTTCTAGAGAGTAACACAGGCACCCATTTTTCACAAATGTATCACATACTATTTCAAAATGTGACTACTTTGATACTCAAACTATAGTAACATAAGAAAGTTAGTATCAGGGGTGCTGGGTGAAGGGTGTACAGGAAATGTACTTACACGACTTTTTTTTTTTTTTTTTGCATTTGGGCCATAAGCCCTACTCTTTGTGGCTGACTATTTACGTTTGTGTTCCCATTAAAACCAATGTCTAATTCTCATAATTTAAATGTAAGTCTACATTAAAAGTTTTAGAGAAATGATTGACTATTAGTTACTTCCTTGAGTTTGGTATTTCTCTGTGTGATTTTGGACAAGTTATTTACTTCCTTTGTGCCTCAGTTTCTTCATCTGTACAGCAAGAATGACAACATAGACTTCTACAGAGGTTTAAACAAGTCACTGTGTAAAGTGCCCCTTTGTGGAAAGGGCTCAGTTAGTGTTAGCCGCTGCTGCTGCTTTATTAAACTATCGCTGGATTCATCTTCCTAGAGCAGAGCTATACCTATGCAAACATTTTTATACTAATTCTCAAGAGACTTGCCCTAGATTATTGTCTTAAGTTACGCTGGTGGCTTCCACGGGAAGTCTGTGTCTGGCTCAGTGAAGGGCGCTGTCCCCTAGGACAATGTGGCACCGCGAACCCAGCTCAGCGCTGGGCCGTGGCGGAGCCACTAGCGGACATGCCTTGGGAGAACGCTCTTTGCTGCCCTTGGGAGATGGGGCCTGACCTTTCTCTTCTGCTTGCATACATCGTGACACCCCGCCCAGGGCTTCTGCGCCCCTTCGTGCAGGCTGGCATCTGTGCAGAGCCTCCCAAGGCCCGTAGGAGGGACTGGGAAATGTGGGCAGCCCCACACGGTTGCTGCTTTATGCAGGTCAGCCCCGGGCTAGGCCCGGAACACCCGGTCTGCGTTTTGCTGTTTCCAGAAGTGCAACAAGGGAGAGCTGAGCCTTTACAAACTCTGCCCAGGCGTTCTCGCCTGGGAGGGGCCACAGCCCTCACAGTTAAGTGCTGATAGTTCGCTGCAGCAAGCTAAGGGAGAACATTGAAATGTTTCACCAATAGTCATTCACTTTATGCTCCTCAATCCCTTACTCTTGATTGAGACAATGTTTTACGGTAATTTTCTCCTAAACCACATGCTCCCTGCCCCCAAGACATGACTTTGACAAAGTAGGAGTCTCGGCGAAAAGGAGAGAGAAACAGGAGTGAGGCCAAGACCGTGCAGATGCACTCAGGAGCCCACATGTGCCTACCACGGGGATTTTGTTCACAGTGCGATCTGGGCTGGTAGCTCGGTTTGCTGTGTTTCATAAGGTTACCGAGAGGCCGTGTGCTGACCCTCTCCTGGCAGTACCTCCAAATCCCGATTTTCCCTGAATTCTTATCTGAGGGGACAGCTGTGGGTAGAAAGTTTGCTTGTTTTTAAGATTTTACTTATTTTTTAGAGAGGGGAACGGAGGGAGAAAGAGAGGGAGAGAAATATCAATGTGTGGTTGCTTCTCACACGTCCCTTATTGGGGACCTGGCCCACAACCCAGGCACGTGCCCTAGACCAGGAATTGAACCAGCAACCCCTTGATTTGCAGGCCGGCACTCAATCACTGAACCACACAAGCAAGGGCATGCTTATTTTTAAATTAAAAAAAAATACATGAGGATGTTTTAAAAAATGAGCTTTCCCTGAACTCCTTCTCTCTTTTTTCCTTAAATAGACCATTTTGATCTTTTTTCCCCTATAATATCTTTTTATTTACAAGTAAAGAACATTAAAGTTAGCCTTTCCATTTTCACTGTAGCTTTAAATTCCTAAATACAAATGGCAACATTAACATATTTGCTGTTCGATTGAGAATGAGTGCCTTTGTCAAAGGAAAGAGAGGGGATGTTAGGGAGCCCCATGAGTCAGGAGGCAGGGCTGACCCCTGAGAGCTGAACCCCATGTCGGCACGCAGCAGCGCGCAGCAGGTGCACCAGGTGCCTGTGAACCCCAGACCGGGTCCAGGGCTGGCATGGCTCCAGCATAACTCAGTCGAGTGTGCTGATTTACCTGCCGTGGACGTGGTGGGCCAACCTCAGGAAAGCCGTGCTGGGGCAGAGCGCACCCAGACACAGCCCCGGGGAGGCAGGGTCCTGGCCCACGAAGGGGGATCCGGCCCTGTGCCTGGGCAGTTGGCAGGAGGTGCACGTGAAGCGACAATTAGAGGCATGGGGTATGGAGTCCAAATGTCTTGTTTCCAGCCCTGGCTCTGCACGAACTCTGTGACATTGCAAGTTATTGAGCTCTTTGTGCCTCGGCTTCCTCTTCTGGAAAATGAGGGTCATCATCGGGTAGTCGTGAGCACTAGGTCAATTAACTATGTGGAGTTCTCAGCACGATGCCTAACACAGATGAAGCATAAACGCTCAGTGGCTGCTTGTTGTCACTGGCCTTAGGCTGGACTTACCAGGTCAGCACAGCCCGATGCCAGGAAACATCCGGATCAGCCATCGCCTCCCCTCGCCCCGCCCCAGTTCCATTCCCACCCACTGCGTTTCTGCTTCATTGGCTTCCCTGACCCCTTGTCACCAGGGCACAATGCACCCGCCACGCTGTCACAGTTATAACTCGCAATGGCACTGGGCCTTGGGAACTTGCATGCAGCGTACAGAGCAGTCTCCTAGGAGACGTGCTAACGGGGATCAGTGGACCAGCTCCGAGGCAACAGCCAGCCCAGGTGCCTGAGCCCTGCCTCGGGGTCCCCTGACCTCCATCCACTGGGGAGCTGCATGCCTGATGCCCCCACAAGCGTGCCTTACCTATGACATGGAGCTTTTCGTCAGCGACCTCAGCCCTCAGGTAGATCCGGCCCCTCTTCTCGGTGTGGTCCATCCCGCAGAGGCTGGGGACGTTTATGACGCACTGCTTGTGCACGTTCATGTCGCAGGCTGCGGATCGAGAAAGCAAAGGCTGAGCTGGGCACACGGTCCCGGACCATCGCTTTCTCGGTGTTTTGGTTGCAGGAGCACAAGTGAAAACGGGCTACCCTTGAACTCGATACTTTGCTATATGTTGTTGGTGACATAAAGAGCTGTTAGCAGATGTCCCTCAGAGCACAGGCTTCGTGTGAGTGACAGTATCCTTAAAATATCCACGCCATGTTTGTCCAGACTCAGCGGAAGCAAAACGCCCCTGCCTGGTCTTCTGTGATGCTTCAAATATTTAACAGTAGGCAAAATTCACACAGGTAAATGCATACAAAGCTAATTCCTACTTTTGTACACAGAGGCAAATAATATGCACATCTTAAACAGAGGACGCTTTTTCTGCAAAACAATTTCTTATGACTTCCTAGCTCACCACTCAGAAAGGGTGAGAATATGTGGGTTGAGCACAGGAAATCCATAAAATTTTCCTGAGCTAAGTCTGTATTTTCAAGAAGGCTTAAGTACATCGCTTTTGCTTTTTTTTTTAAAGAACTTGTATTTGATATTTTAAACCTGTCTTCAAATATTTAAATATTATTCCAAGTAAAACAAATACACGCCTGGCATGATACGCCATTCTTTACCAGCTGACACTGCGTGGGTGAGACCGGGGGAGGACTGAAGAAAAAGACTAGTCACCGCGGTGAACTGAAGGCTCCGCGGAAAGAATCCCGTGTGCTGAACACGGACGTCAGACTCTGTGGAGGCGTTGCAGTGCTCTGGTCCTTGCGCCTCCGGGCTCCCAGGGGAGGACCGGCCTCTGGGACCCTCGCGAGCCCTCGATGGGGTGCCGCAGGCTCTTCTGGGACCTTCGAGGTGCAGCCTTCACGCCGTTGGTTTCGTTGTGAAGGTTTGGCTTGAACGTGGTGAAATGAATTGCGGAGAGCACAGCGAAGGATGCCTGTCTGCCGGACTGAACACGGAAGGCAGGACCCTGGACCCGAGGCGGAGAGAACGGCTGGCTGATTCACACGCGTGCATTCTGGTTACGCTCCTATTTCCACAGCTAACTGCTCAAAGCTGTGAGCCCTGATTTAGCAAAGACACAGACTCAGGAAATATCTTTAAGTGCCTGGGAAGAATGTGAAACTCAAAGGCAATAAAAGCCGCGGGCTCTGGGAAGGGCCGAACAGCAGGGAGGGCGTGGGGGGTGGTGCGTGGTGAAGGGCGCTGGGCTGGGTTCTTGTCTCAGCTTCCACCATGAGCGGCTTTTGAATCTTGGGAAGCTTATCTGCTCTCTCAGATTCCATTTCTTACTTGGCAAATGAAGAGCCTGGCCCAGACAAGTGGTTGATAAGTTTTTTTTTCCCTCACCAAGCAGAACTGTACATGGTGTTGTGACCCTACAATGTGTGAGGGCACAGGCAGAGGACTCTTCTCCACAGAAGCTAGGGGAGGGGTCGGGTCCTGGTACCCTCCTCCTCCAGGACGGAGCCCAGGCAGCCGCCCCCGACACCCTGGGACTCCAAGGGAAGGAGTTGAAAACAAAACAAAAAGCACTGATTTTTAGAGACTTATTTTTAGCAATGGAACCCATTTTTTTAAGCAAAATCTTAAGCAGAATCCTAAAATATAAACCAGATGAGTATTAGTTTATTAACATAAACTTAGTTAATAAATTCAAATTTATACCATTTATTTGTTATAAAGACATTAATGGATAACCAATAAGGCCCTCTGATCCAAAAAAATTGCAAAGCCAGCGCTGAGGGACGCTCAGTTCTGCCTGAGGAACTCATGCATGTATGTATGTATCTTGTTAGAGTTCCACAGCACCTCAAACCCCGGCTCCTGCAGAAGAGTGAGCACACACAGCCCTGCTGTTCGACTCCGTGCTTCACAGCCCCTGAGGCTCTTCGGTCCAGTGGGTGCAGTGGCAGAAACTCAACCACACATCCTTCCCGGTGAGTGGCGCTGGGCAACATCAGGTCTCCGACGTTGTCTTCAACTTGTCAAGGTTGAGTGTGTGACGCATTCAAATGTTCATTTTTGTTCCAAGTTTTCAAGCAGTTAAAAGTATATTTACAAATGCACTTAGAATTGCACTTGTAAAACCCCTGCAAACCACGTCTCCGGAGTCCTAGGGTTTCTTGAAATGCAGCAGGCCACGGGTGTGGATCATCACTGAGGTTTTGTTAGGCTATTAAATTCCACAGCTTTGGGCGGGGGAGGGGCCCTGGGTTCTGGGAAACGACCCAGCTACTCTGTAGCGTGCATGTATCTTTGTTTTCATATTCTGTGTTTGCTCCACATAGGAGAGCTCCTGGCCATAACAGTAACCATTAATGAATGACAACATGCTGATGTTTCCGTAACACTTCCTTGTCTACTAGAAAAACAGACACAGTACTTTCATATCCTAAAAGTATATGCTTTTATTTAAGCTAATAAATAGCCTGGGAAATGAATTTCAAAATAGAATTATCAAAGCAAAGACCTTCCACAGTTGTTTTTCTTTCCTCCTGGCAGTTGACGGAGACACATACAGAACAGAACAGGAGGGTGGAGGACACCCAGGTCTTCCTCAACAGTGTGTTCAGTGACTTCACTGCCGACTGGGCTCACAGGAATCTGAGCTGCCCACGGCCACACAGGGCGAGTGAACTTAAGGAGACACCAGCCTGGGTTTAATTTTCAGTGTGGTTTCAGTTTAAGGAGAACCTAATGGATTTTTCCACGGTCCGCCCACTCATTAGAAACACAGGAAGATAATGACTCTGGTGGCTTCACGTATTTTGAAGCCTAACAAGATGTGGGGTCTGGAGGTGCGGAGTCTTTTCTCAGCACAGGGCTTTTGCTTTGGGGTCTGACTAGCCTGCATGCCATCGTGGCTGCAGATTTCTGCCACGAGAAACTGGGGTAGCACCAACTTCATTTATAAATTGGGTGCTTTTTGGGGTTCATAATTAGGCAATTAAGCAGTCTGATAAACCAGAACGTTAACAGTGGGAAAACCCTACACTTCACCGGCCTGCTATAGATCTGAATGGTTGTCTTTGTGGATGAGGTGGCGCCGAAACGTTACTGAACCTGAGGTGCGCGGGGAGCTCTGGGCACCTGCTTCGGAGCCTCGCCACCCACCAGAAAAGAAAACTTACTTACTGTCGCATTTCATCCCCTGATGGATGAGTCCGTACAGCAGCGACCCGCAGTGGTCACAGAAGGTGGGGCTGCCATAGGTGTGGATTTTAAACTTGTGCTTGCTCCTGGGGTCCTGCGGGGAGAAGAAGCACACTGCTCATTCCGGGCATGAGAGGACGGACCAGCTGGTTGGGTGGGGCCAATGTCAGGCCCCGCCCCTCCCCATTCCCACGTCAAGGTTCAGTGCAACCACAGAGTGCACTGCTCTCGGGGGACCATGTGATGGGTGGTGGCGACTTGGCCATGTCACATTTTAATAGGCTGCCTGTTCTGGGACATGTAACAAATACCCACGTTTCTTCTTTCCATGGGATGCACTGAGGTAATTTGCATATTGCTGGGTTCCCACCAAAGCTATCGCTTCTGGCCCCACAGTCATACAAGTGCTCGAGGACAAGCCCACTCGATGCTGTGGTATCTCTGCATCCCCAGCGCCCAGCACAGAGGAGGTGCAAAATCGGGGTGTGTTTGTGAAGCTGGACTGAGTTTGGACAACCTGCTGGTGGGCAAGGTTTCCGTAAGACCAGAGATGCACCCCGACCAACAGGGGTGTCTTCCTGCTTCTGCACTGTTTCCGAAGCACCCCACGCCTTTGCATGGGATAGTGACAGCACGGTCGGGGGAAGTCAGAAATGCACCGAACGCAGCTGCCACAGCCCCTGCCGCAGTTTCCTTCCATCCCCTAGCACACCGCACACGCCACCGAAGGGACAGCCAGGCAGCTCCTTTTCTAGCAGCACTTTTGTTTCTCAGCCCGCAGATGGCCGGTAGACGGGGAAGTACACATTCCACGGAGCACGCCACACTGACCCAAGCTCACGGCCCCCGCGGTCAGGCTGCCTGCATGCCAGCCCCAGCTCTGTTCTTCCCAGAAGTGTCCCACACTTATCCTTCCTGCCTCGTCTATGAACTAGGAAATCAACAGCACCTGTCTTAGGTGGCTGCCATGGGCACAAAACCAGTCAACCACAGTAAGGTGCCGAATGGGGAAATCCCTGGAGTGAGTGAGCTCCTCTGTTCCTCGGGCCTCTGTCGATCGGTACATAAAAGTAGGGGGTTGAGCTGAAAGACATTTCTGTCCCCTACATGTCCATATTGGGACCCTCCCTCATCATATGCCTCCCCCTGGATGACATTTTTTGTGCCCCGAGCAGACGTGAAGATGGAGCTGCCATTAGCGGAACTAAGGAAGGGGACCGAGGGGCGGGGTTTGGGGAAGGGAAGGAGGCCAAAGGCCCCGTTTCAGACGTGTCCGGCTCGAGCTATCCCTTGGTCTAGGGTTTCTCAAACGCAAACATACACAAAGATGTTCCTGGCTTCTGACTTTCTAAGGGCCTGGGTACTGGTTGGTGATTTTGACTTTGTAAGATAACTGATCACTTGTTTGGCTTTGGAACCTAAGGTCTAAACCACATACAAGCCACATACTCTTTAAAGACATAAATTCTAAAATTAGTGAATATTTCAATCATGCAGAACATGAATAATAAATCAAACACTCATGTAAGTACCACCCATACTTGACAAATGTTAACATTTTCCCCAATTTTCACTGCATAATCATTATCCTCATTCCACAGAGATGGCAGTGACCTTCAAAGTCACGTGGCCAGGGACTACCAGCAATGGGATCTGAATACATCTGAGCCTTCAATACTGATCCCCACCCAGGCGCTTTCAGAAATCCACTCAAAATGAGGCTCTAGTCTTAACAGCTTTAATTTTTATTTTTATATTTGCAACACAACTTTTTTTTGGGAAATGAGAACACCACCTGTTTTATAAATAAACTGTCACTGGAATTTGGGCATGCTCACTCATTTACATATTTTCTGTTGCTCCAGTGGCAGAGCTGTGCAGAGCCTGCACAGGCCCCTGGGCCCGAAACACTCACTCTGGGGACAATCTCTGCTTCACGAGTGTAGTTTCCAAAGTGTGTCCCTACCCGGCACCACCATCACCTGGAACTTGTTGGAAATGAAGTTACTCCCCACTCAGACCGCCCGAATGGAACCTCCGGGCAGAGGCCCTGCGAGGGTCCCAGCGTGGCGAGCACACTAGAAATGAGGACTGAGAACTGCTGCTTTGGGAGGTTACTCAGCAAATACAGAGTAGGTGCCTAACGGGGGCCAGGTGCCTACCTGTGCAGATGCTCAACGATATTCTCGAGGCAGTCACTAGTTTACTTTCCAAATGTCTCTCGGGTATGAAAAGTCAACACCTTCCTTGGGAGGTTAGTTTTCCTAGTAAGTAGCCGCTGCGAATACAGTCTGAAGTACGTGTGGGCTTTAAAGCAGTCCCTCCGCTTTCCCCAGTGTCCTGGGACGTTAAGGAGAATGTCCAGGGAAGAGGCCAGTGACAGTCTCCACTGCAAGTTCCCATGAGGACAGCCGAGGTCGTGTCCCACTATGGGGAGGGCAGAGAGGAGCCCGGGGGACGGACACAGCCAGTTTCCCCTGAAGAAGCCAGGCGCTGACCACGGGCACTGAGTCAGCGAACGTGGAGTGGACGTGCAGCCCGCCGGAGCCCGGGCGTGCCAGGCAGCTCCAGGGCAGCCATCTTGCCGGTCGGTTGGCATGTGGGTGCCTATGGCTGTGGCATATGGGCAACTGGTTTCACTTTTCAGGAGAATCCAAGTCTTACTCACACCCCCCCCACCCCATGGGGCATCTTCGGGCTCTAACCATTCAGAGGGGTTACCATTAGGACGAGAGGAAACCTTCGCTTTCAGCCCCTGGGTAAGTCTGGAGAGTGCCCAAGTCTTAGAGTCCTCATACTTCAAAGTCATGAGCGGCCAAGGATCGTGCTCATGGTGACAAGGACAACACCACCTGCCTGCCGGTCATCACTCTTGGGGCCGGTGCTTCACAATGACCGAGATCTCCCCCACAGTGAGACCACTGACCGGGATCAGGGAGACCTGTGTTCCGACTCCAGCCTTGACACAGACTCAGTGAGTGACCTTGGAAAGGTCAGGTCCCTTCTAAATGAAGCAGAAAGAAAGCCCGTCTGCCTTTGTGATAGTCGGGAGTGAGGCTTAACCGAGGGAACACATAAGGGCTTCCTAACCTGGAAATCCCCAGGCAAATACAAGAGAAGATGATTGCAATTATATTATCCTTGGAAGTGAGCCAAGGTGCGCAACACTTCCCTTCCTTCAGTGACCTGGGCCTGAATCGGAAGGAAGAGGAAAGCTAATTAGCCTCAGCCCCAATCGGTGGTCAGGGCAGACGCCAAGGTGGCCAGAAGCCAAGGGTCTCCTCTGAGGTCTCCAGTTCCTGCTCTGTGCCGAAGACTGGCCTTCCGAGGCCCATACCCCACGCCGAGGGGTAAGTTGTGGAACCGCCTGCCAGCCCAGCCGGCCGTGCCCTGGACCGACCGTGAGGAGGAGGACATCTCCCACACACCAGAGATGGAATGCAGGAGCATAAAGCCTCCGGCCAAAACGGCCTCACCTCGTCTGAGAAAAGGAACCACAGTGTCAGCTGAGGAGCCGTGAGTTAACGGTGGCTGCAGAGAGCAGCCGCACTGAAGAGCTACCGGGCTCCGTGTGTCTCTCCGCAGCCACCAAGGAGTGGTGTGTTTCACTGCTCTGGGCCCTGACTGCCTCATCTGGCCCCTGAAAGCATTGAGCTGGATGAGCCTCTTCAAAGTGGCACTTCATAGAGCCCTGCAGTGGGCAGGGTGCACCCGACGGCCACTGGGGGAGCGAGAGGGGAGGGTTCGAGAATGAGGCCTTGGCTAAATAATGCTTGAAAACTGGACTAGGTGATCTCTTTAATTCTGTCATCTTGCTCTCAAAAAGAAAACAAACTTTTAATTTTTATTTTGGAATAATTTAAGACTTGTAAGAATGTGCAAAAATAGCACAGTTTGCATGTAGTCTCTAGCCAGCCTTCCCCGGAGATGCCTCTCACGTAACCGCAGTGCATTCGCAAAGCCAGGGCATCGGTGGGCACTGGGACCACCATGCCTTCCTCCAGCGACGACGGTAACGTTCCACCGGGTCTCACACGCATAATGCCGGTGCAGGCATTTGTATTAAGAAGCTTACGAGTTACACACTGTTTACTGAGTGGGGGCTGCAGTAGCATTTGCTGGGTCCACATCACGGGCTCAATCAGAGCCCCACCAAAGACCATTCGAGGCTTGTCCATCAGACCCACAGCCCTGGGTCTCCTCCCGTGCAGGTGTCCCAGGAGGGTGAGTCTGAGGATCCAACTGAAACGTAGAATCAGTGGGCTTTTCTCTCCACAAAGGAAACTCACACTCTCTCCAAAATTTTCTGATCAGTTTTTCTAAACAAAAACCATTTTGAGGCACAGGTTGCCTGAGGTATCACACAAAGTAGGTGCCAGCAGGGGTCAGGGGACAGTGGAAGGTGTGTAAGTTATGGTGACACTTGTAATCTGATGGAAAGACAAGGACATCAAGGCACGAGCTGTCCCCCACTGGCGTCAGAGTAGGTTCTGGGCAGGTGCTGGTGAACCATATGCCCGGTGAGGGCTGAGGCACCCTAGGAGGCCCTGGGTAGCCAGGGAGCGGGGGGGCGGAAATGTGTGGGGAGAGGAGCTGAGTCTTCAGCGTCCTCAGCAAGACAAGTCGCACTTGTCCTCAGGTTGTGAGAAGCAGCGTTTGGTGGATAATGGGGCTTTCAGGTTCTTTCCTGCACCTGTAAACCTTGACGCCGAACCCTTCACAGAGAGCACCTGGGCTTCTCCTATCTTGCTTCGGCTGTTCCCTCTACCTGGTATAACCACCTCGTGCTGAGAGCCCACCTGCTGAAACACCTAAAAAGGCAGTCACGAGGGCTGCTTCCTCCTCGTAGAACACCCCCTCAAGTCTCCTCTTCCCTCGGACCTTCCACAGCATTTCGTGTCTTCGTGTCTGTTGTCTCCACACCACTTCCATGCTCTGCCACTGGAGACAGTTACTACTCCGGGTGCCTCCTCTCCCACTTTTCATCATCTCTCTCTCTCTCTCTCTCTCTCTCACACACACACACACACACACACACACAGTCTGACAGAGTTCTGGAAGCACAGGGCTGAATTTGCAACTGGACTGGAACCG